TGAGATACTTACATGAGTAACAAGAGTTGGCACAGTGACTCTCTTTGAGTTATCAGTTATTAGCCTGAATGTTACCCAAAATGGGTGAAAATTAAAGTGTTCTTTTTATACTTCTGAAGGTACTAAATAAGAACAGGAAGGTTTCTCATAACACAAAAGGCTACAGCTGCCAAACCTATTGAATAAATACAGAATCAGGTACCAGCCAGTTGTATCATTGAAAATGTAGATAGATCTTTTATCCCCACTTCCTCTTCTTCCATACGACTCCCTGTGCTCTGCCCAAAATTTGACTTTGAGTCTCAACATCTGCCTCGATCCTCTGTTGGGTGGAGCCTTTCAGAGGACCCTCTATAATAGGCTCCCATCCTGTTCCACCTCTTCCACCATTTCTGGTGTCTATCCTGTTTGCCATTCTGAAGGAGATTTAAGCATCCTCCCTAGGATCCTTCCTAGTGTTTAGCTTCTTTAGGTCTGTAGATTTGAGTATGGCTATCATATATTATACAGCTATTATCCTCTTATAAGTGAGTGTACGCCATGCGTATCATTCTGTTTTTGGGTTACCTCACTCAGGATAATCTTTTCTAGTTCCATCCATTTGATTGCAAATTTCATGATTTCCTTGTTTGTAATAGCTGAGGACATGGAGGAGACAGGAGTCCCACAAGGAGATCAACAAATCTAAAAAATCTGAGGCCAGGGGGTCCTGTAGAGACGACTTACCAACCAAGGACCATTCATGGAGAGGACCTAATAACACTGCTCAGATGTAGCCCAGAGACAGCCCAGTCTCCATGTGCGTTCCCCAGTAAAAGGAGCAGGGGCTGCCTCTATCGTGAACTCGGCTGCCTGCTCTTTGATCACTTGCCACTGGCAATGCAGCCTTGCCAGGCCACAGAGGAAGAGGATCCAGGCATTCCTGGTGACACTTGATAAGCTAGGGTCAGATGGCAAAAGAGGAGAACTCCCCCTTTCAGTGGACTAGGGGAAGGGAATAGAGAGAAAGAGAGGAAGAGATTGGGGCTGGGAGGAGTTGAGGGATGAGGCTTCAATTGGGATATAGAATGAATTAATTGTAAAAATGAATGAATGAATGAATGAATGAATGAATGAATACGTGAAAAAGGAAATATAGATAGAAATGGTGTAGGTGGCCAACCACACCTGTATGCCTGCATGTGTGACATACAAAGACTTGTTCATTTGTTGCCTACTATATGCTTCAACACTTTTTAAAGTGGAATTTGGGTTCTTTCATGCAAGATCTCACCATGTTGTTCTTTTTGTGCCCTAGTGGTGAACAAAAATGCAAATCTCCTAGCTGTTCTGCTGTGGCACAAGTGAGAATGAAAGAGTCCCATGGGATATTGTCCCATTTCAGCTTTGCTTTTGTTTAGCCATTAAGTCAGCATTCCCCTTGTCCTAATTGCATCTGATTCTTTTTAATTAGAGCTCTCTGTGTGGCAATTCCTTTCCTGCTTCAGTATTTACAAGTTTCAAATATTTGTACATGGTTATCGGACATCCTGCCTGCCTCAGTCTGCCTGAGCCTGCCCCTGTATGCTGTCTCTTTAATCATCTTTCTGTACTTCGGTTTTCTAGTCCCTTCATCATTTTCTGGTGTTAGTAGCTATCATTTCCACAAATGAATTCATTTTTGTCTTCATTCCTATCGTTCTTCTTTTATTGGTGAGACTTTTCAAAGTCATTGTTTAATTTCACGGCCATGTTGTTTACTAAGAAACTTAAATTGCCACTGATGACATAATTCCTTCATGAGTTTCCCACCCACTGACCATCGCTGAACCTGTTTGGGACTTCTCTAATCAGCATTGCTTATACTTCTGTATAAGCCTTTCTTTCATTGAAAAAGCATCAAATGCACTGCCATTCATACCCAACTTCTCAACTAATCATGTTTTGTTGAGAGAAAATAACTAACTGAAAATTTTTGCTCATTTTTTTTGCTTATTAATTGTCCTGTGTCTGTTTTTATAAACTCATTGAAACTTATAACAAGAAAAGAATAGTATGAATGCTGCTGTTGGATTCTGAAGACACTGATTGTAGGAATGGATATTAGGAATGGAAAAGACGCTTTCCCGGGGTGTCATAATGAATACCAGCCTCCTGGCTTGCTGTCTTCATCTCACTGATATGTGCTATGACTGTGGACTAATCTCAAGCCTCAGGGGTACCCTGGGAGCTCCCTTTTTGTTTTGTTCCTTTTTGTTTTGAGCAATCCTAAATGCTGGTACATAAGGGCTCTCCCTTTTTGAGACATTCCTATTATGAGTGGCTCCAAATTGTGTTTACCTTTGCCTCTCCCCACATAGCTTCTTTTTAGCTAATGCCTAGAATGTGTCCTGCTCTTCTTTGTCCTGAACACCGAAGCCTGTCACAGTCTGAAGCTGTTTTATAATGTTCTTTGTCTTGCGCCAAGTCTTCTGCACTATAAGGAGGCAGTTATCAGTTGCAGAGCTAGAGCAGCCCAGTGCTGTGGGCGTTCCAGTGAAATTACAAAGTTCTAAGTATCTGCTCATAAAGAATTATGTGGCTATTTCTTTGAAAGTGCCAACATTTGTATCCATAAGGGAAATATTTTATTAAAATATGATAATATCATGGATGCTTAAGTGTAGTGGCTGGGAGCTTCCAGCTGAATGATTGTGTCTGCAAACAAAACTATAAAATGGAAGCAGGAAGAATAAATATTAATGAAAATCTCTGGCAAAGATAGGAGGCAGAATTTGGGAAATAAAAGAGTTCTAAAATGGTGTGCTTAAATTGCAGGGCCAGCCTAAGAAGAGGGTGTGATTCTCTGGGGCTGAGCTGGCACCCTGCAGAATACTGAGGAGGGATGACTACTGTGGTAGCACAGCTTAAACAGAAAGCCTAAAGGGACAAATTTGACTTCCAGTGGTCCACACGTAACAGTGAGAAACAATCAAGACGGGACCTGAAGGCACTCATTGTACTGTTAAATCTTGGTTACTATCAGTGACTTAGGTGCTTTAAAACTTGAGAGAAGCCCAAGAACCAATGCGTATTCGTGACTTAGTGAGCTCCACTGGAGACAGGTATGCCTTTTAATGTTTTCACCTTTGACACCAAGTTTGGCTATGCTAGAAAATGTAGTGGATGAAGAGAGAAGAATCTTGACAGGGAACTCCAGAAGTAGAGGGGAGTGTGAATTGGCTGGTTTCATGCAAGAAATCTCCATCACTGGGCAGATTGAATTTAGAAAAAATATTGTGAATTCAAACAGGATATGTTTCTGGAAGCTTATGTGTTCATCAGTAGTACACACAGAGACCTTTTCTAGACTGCCAGAGGGTTGTGTATATGAATGTGTATGTATGTAGCAGCCCTAAAGGACAGCATAATAACATTGATGGCACTCCACAGTTAGATTACAGTTCATAGGTTCAAGAACCTTTAAAGATAGTAATTCTTTTTTTCTTGCTTTATTAATGTTTACTTTTTACAATTTATTTATTTTATATCCCGATTGTAGCCCCTTCCCTCATTTCTACCTAGTCCCACCCTCCCCCCTTCTTCTCCCCTATTCCCTTCGTCCAGTCCACTAAAAGGGAGGTCCTCCTCCCTTGCCATCTGACCGTAGCTTATCAAGTCTCATCAGGACTGGCTGGATCCTCCTCCCCGGTGGCCTGACAGTAGATATTAATTCTTAACTGCACATCCTGCCTCAAGCTGTATTAGACAGACCAGCCTTTATTCTTTTAGTTTAACGAAGTATGATCATGGAGCACAGCAATGTGGCCATTTGCCCAAGGTCAAAAGGAAAAAAATGGTGACAACATCTATACTAAAGCTGTTTTCAAAGTGTAACAGGATATTCTGTGATAAGGGGGCCTCAGAACCCAGGCTAGCCTGCCTCTGTTTCCCTTATAAACACACAGGACCGTTCTTAAGATGCCCGCATAAGTACAGCAACAAGGTAAAGACTGTGCTGTATCTGTGGCTTTGATGGTGTCACAAGCACTAAAGAGTAGGAGGAAGTGATCTTGACATCTCTGTGCTAGCTTTTAAGCTGGAGCACTGTGCCTGGACCTGCCCCCAGAGGATCTGTTTTGAAAGACTTTGTCATGTATTCAAGGAAATTTCCTTTTATTATCTTAAATCCAACAGTATAGTACATATTATAAATTATGCAGAAAAATGTAAAAGACCTCTATGTTCATATGAGGAAAAGGAAGATGTCAAGTGTGAATCTCTACGGCACTGTGTTGCTTGTTAATTGTGATTAATTCTGGGCACTAATGTCTTTAAACTCTGGTTGTTGAATTCTGAGTGGATTTGACTGAGATTTTACCTAACAACTTAATTCAATTTTCATGAAAAAAAGAAAAGAATAATGGGGACTTTTCTCTAAGGCTGATGAAAAACCCAAGTACTTCATAGAAATCCAGACTATCTGATCTGATCCTTGTGAAAAGCAAAACCTTGCAAATGTCAGAAAGATGCTATACGCCAGAAAGCCCCTTTGGACAAATTCATCTAAAGAGGGTGCTATTTGTAGGTGACTTTTCTAGCAAGTCTGTCAAAAGCTTCTCCTGCAGATAAAAATTCAATAACCTTTCACTGTGGATGTGCCACAATTATCACTCATTTAAAAACAGTCGCTCTAATAGAGCATTTTATCACACTGGACAGTCTCTGCATTGTTCATTATTTAGTGTTTGCTAAGCTGATGGCTCTTCCACTGCACTTTCCTTATCTCTGCTTCTTCAGAATTGGATTTTATATTTCTAAACCGGCCAGATATGACAAGTCATTTTCTTTCCTCTTGTCTAAAAAAAAAAAAAAAAAAAAAAAAAATACGCAAACTTGATTTCTTTTTTTCCGACAATCACCACTTAGAGATTAAAGTTATTGGAAATGTCTGCATTAACCAGCATTGGGACAGACACTGAAGGACTGTTACATTTTAATTAGAGTTGGGGTTTTCCCCTTTTCTTTTTTATCCTCCTTATTTTCCAGTGTGCACCTCTGTGGATCCCCACATCCCTCCCTTGCTGCTAAAACACACAGTGTGTGGTGGGTAAAGATGAGGGTGCTGTACAGTCTGGTGTTCATAGAAGACAAGGCAAGGAGGGATTATCAGAATTTCTGTATTACAGAGCCTCAGTGTGGTGGCAAGCAATGTAAGTGGATCTCTCTGTAAACACAGACTGTCTCCAGATGAGGATGATCCTGAAAGGAAGATGATGAAATCATTAGCCTGACAACCAGGAGATGCCAGTTCAAACAACATCTCCATCTTCGCCATGTATATAGCTCATTACAAAGAACATTAACTGTCTTCATTCTGAGAAAATATGCCACCTATGGTTCTAGAAAGGTTATTTTCTTTTTTTTTCCACGTTACCGTAGATGATAGGTTTATTATTTTTTTCTTTATTATTATACTTTATTCCCCTTGTTACCCCCCCCCCATGGTTCCCTCTCTCCTCTCCTCCCACTTCCTCCCTCCCTCCACCCTCTGCATGCATGCCCCTCCCCAAGTCCACTGATAGGGGAGGTCTTCTTTTCCTTCCTTCTGATCCTAGTCAATGAGGTCTCATCAGGAGTGGCTGCATTGTCTTCTTCTGTGGCCTGGTAATGCTGCTTCCCCCTCAGGGGAATGTAATTAAAGAGCAGGGCAATCAGTTCATGTCAGAGACAGTCCCTGTTCCTATTACAATGGAACCCACTTGGATACTGAACTGCCATGGGCTACATCTGTGCAGGGGTCTTAGGTTATCTCCATGCATAGTCCTTGGTTGGAATAGCAGTCTCAGGAAAAACCCCTGTGCTCAGATTTTTTGGTTCTGTTGCTCTCCTTGTGGAGTTCCTGTCCTCTCCAGATCTTACTGTTTCCCACTTCTTTCCTAAGATTCCCTGCGCTCTGCCCAAAGGTTGCCCATAAATCTCAACATCTACATTGATAGTCTGCAGGGCAGAGCTTTTCAGAGGTCCTCTGTGTCAGGCTCCTGCCTTGTTCCCTCTTTTCTCCTTCTTCTGATGTCCATCCTCTTTGCATTTCTGGATAGCAAGTGAGCATTTTAGCAAGAGTCCTCCCTCTTGATTAGTTTCTTTAGGTGTACAGATTTTAGTAGGTTTATCTTATATTATATGTCTACATGAGTGAGTATATACCATGTGCATCTTTTTGCTTCTGGGATAGCTCACTCAGGATGATCTTTTCCAGATCCCACCATTTACCTGAAAATTTCATGATTTCCTTGTTTTTTATTGCTGAGTAATATTCCACTGTTTAGATGTACCACAATTTGTGCCTCCGTTCCTCCACTGAGGGGCATCTGGGCTGTTTCCAGCTTCTGGCTATTACAAATAAGGCTGCTACAAACATGGTTGAGCAAATGTCCTTATTGTGTATTTGAGACTCTTTTGGGTATATGCCTAGGAGTGGTATAGCTGGATCTTGAGGAAGCGCTATTCCTAGTTATCTGAGAAAGTACCAGATTGCTTTCCAGAGTGGTTGTACAAGTTTACATTCCTACCAGCACTGGAGGAGGGTTTCCCTTTCTCCACCACCTCTCCAGCATGTGTTGTCTCTTGAGTTTTTGATCTTAGCCATTCTGATGGGTGTAAGGTGAAATCTTAGGGTCGTTTTGATTTGCATTTCCCTGATGGCTAATGAGGTTGAGCATTTCTTTAAGTGTTTCTCTGCCATTCAGTATTCCTCTGCAGAGAATTCTCTGTTTAGCTCTGTACCCCATTTAGAAGGGTTATTTTCAAAGCAGCCATATACGTTACCTGACCCTCAGCCAGACCTAAAACACATACTTTTATGTATTTGTCTTTTATTCAGAATTTTGTAGTGGGCTCTTTCTATTGAAGCCAATTCCCTGCTTTTTCTACTGAGAACCCCTTAGTACAGTGGGGACTAAGAACCCCTTAGAACAGTGGGTCAGAATAAAATGGCATCTCTTCCTCAACTGGGAGCTATCTCTTGGGCCTGCTAACGGTCTATTCATTGCAAAATCGTCTCTCACATTTATTAGAGTAAAATAAAATTAAGTTTGATGGCAGGTGTATCCATACAGTGAAATCATATTTAAGAAAAACTGAGAAAATCCACATTTTAATTTCAAGTTTTATGTGTTTTATGAACAAAATAAAAACGACTTTTCACTCTCCCCTCATACACTGATAATAAGAACTTTGGGAATTGGCTTTATAAGAAAAATATTTGCTCAAACTATATTCAGAGGCAAGAGGGACATGGAGTTTCCTTCAACTCAGCTTCCAGCAGGAAGTTCATCAGCATTTCATTTAAGGCACCACAAGCCCAATTAACGCATTTGCTCAGGCCAACAGCCTTTTACATTTTCATGAAAATCTTGGAAATGTGCTGAAGAAATGCCCCCCAGGAGAGTTCTGCATATGTCGCTGTCAGCCTCTCTGGAAAGCAGAGCATGGGTCACCCACAGACAGATGGCTGCCACAAGTGTCACCATGGCCAGAACCACCTCTTCCCAACTGCTCTCACTTGCACAAAATCTTCAGCACTGTGCTGTGACCCAGAGCATTGACCCAGCCCTACCCTTGGAATAGTGGGAGCCGACTCAGCACCTAATTTTGTACTTCTTTGCCTGACTTGCATTTTGATACCAGCATAGCCCAACAGATGAAATGGGCAAAGTCTTTAACATTGCTAAAAGTGTCATTTATATTTAACTGGTAGGATTGCTTAGAGGATCTAGTCAACTAATGTATGCACAACACCTGTTCCAGTGTCTAGCAAACAGTGAACTCAGTGAACAGTAATGTCTGGCTTCTCCTTCTTCCTATTGAAGCTTTTTTCCTCCAGAGACCATTTTAGTTCTGACGTTCCCACAGCACTACCAATGTTTGCCTACAGTGTCTTGATGAGAAGTGCGCCAGTCTGTGTCCTGTTTTTGTGTCTCTTACCCTCCCTGTTGATGGCTAAGCCATTCTGCTTGCTAACTTGACTTCACTGTCAAGGGATCTCTGATGTATTGCATTTGAAATTAGATCTTGAGCCCTTCACTTTAACAACTTTACAAATCCATGTGGTTGGGAACTCAGGGAGGGGGAAGGTTGTATTTATTCATAACCTTGATAGTAAACCCTGCTTCTTGTAACTTCAGTCTATAAGACCATATGGAACTGAAGGAACTGCTGTATTATTGTAACAAGAAAATAATAGGCCATCTATTTCCAGAGCCTCTGGTTGTTCTAGAGCTCTGAGCCTATAACATCAAAGGGTTCTGTCTACATCAGAGTAGGCTTACATAATCACTGTCCTTAAAGTATGCCCATACTTCACCTGGATCTGGCTCACAAGAGTGACAGGTGATTCAGCTGCCTGCTGACCCCATTCTCTGCTGCCTATGGGGTCATAAAACACTTGAGGTTTCAAGAGTTCAGATTCTGCTCTTCTAGGAACATTGCCTAGGAATGGAACTTACTCTTCTTTTATTACTGTTTCAGGCATTTTCATGGGCAGTTCATGGTCATTAAGTACATTCACAAATTGTACAATCTGTACAAACATCATTATCATCTAGCTGCAGAACTTTTCTCTTTTGAAAACTGAAAGCCTAGGTATCTATTAAATTATTCCTTCCTTATTCCTTCTTTTCCCAGCCCCTAGTAACCAGCATTCTAGAAATGTGACTGGCTTTGGAACTCCCTACAAGTGGAAGTATATAGGATTTTCTTCTGTGACTGATTCATTCCTTTTCGTGAGACTTAAAGATCCATCCATCTCTAGTATGTGTCAGAATGTCTTTCTTTTGGAGGCTAAATACTATTCTGTTGTATGGATATGCCAGCTTTTGTTTTTCCATTTATCCACCAATGGACAGTAAGGTTGCTTACACCTTTTGGCTCTTGTCACTGCTGCTTGAACATGAGTATGTAAGCATCCAGTTTCTGCTTTGAATTCTTTTGGGTATATACACAGAAATGGAACTATAGAGTTTAGTATTTTGAGACCAGATGTACTTCATCTATTTTTTATTTACTACTTACTTTCCAGATCCCTCATTGTGTCATATCTTCTGAAGAAAGTTTAGTTTTTATTACATATGAAAAATAATAGTATTTATATGTTCCCAGAGCAATATGTTCCACACAGTTTTCCTGGCTACAGGGTAAATTACGTGGTTAATAAGTAGTGGAGTTCACATAGGCACACATTCAACTAACATCAGGGGTTATATCTACCTTCAAATGAATATTTATTCCTTGTCTCCTCTTATAAGAAAAATTAAAATAATAATTCCTGAATAATGTCTTATTTTTTCAATTCTAAGACATTCAACATTTATAATTAAACTATAAGCTTCCTTTTTTATTATCAGGAATTTTTGTATACCCTAAAAATATGTGAACCAACACATTGAGCCATAAGAAGAAGATTATTTATTTATATATGCTTTTAAAAACTAAAATGAAAATTATATTACTGGTTTTAATATTAGAAATGGCATAGGGTCTTCATTCAGGCCATATCTCAAGTTCTATTAATGAAGTATCTTGAGAGGAAATATAAAAATAAAAATTTCACAATGGTAGGCTAACCATGACATCCTTTGCCTGTTGTTGTTGATGGTGTTTTCTTCTTCAGCATTGCGGAAAAATATCTAGTGAACTAGATTTCTTGATTTTCTATTGGATATTTAGTTGTGTATTTGGTTGGTTGGTTGGTTGGTTGGTTGGTTGGTTGGTTGGTTGGTTGGCTTTGAGAGTATAATACAATTACATCATTTTTCCCTTCCCCTCTTCCCTCCAAACCTTCCTCTATCCTCCTTCTTGTACTCCTTCAAGTCCATGTGCTCTTCCTCCACTAATTGTTATTGAATACATATATTCATTTTTATACATACATCTATTTACATACAACCTGTCAAGTCCATATAATGTGACTTGTTCCTGTGTTTTCAGGGCCCTGAACAACCAATTAGCGTGCTCTTCCCTGTGGAGGACTACCTCACTGCTTCCAGCTCTCCTTAGTTGCCTTTAGTTCTTTATGCAGGGTTGAGGCCTTGTATACTTTATCTGTCAAGTTTGGCATATTCATTAAGAGTCAGTCTTGTTAATCTTAGCATTTAGGTGGTCATGTTTTGCTAGACTTTAAGTATGTAGCTTCTGAACTTACTACAAAGCATACTCTCATTTCAGACTCCCTGATTGTCTAGCTCTTAGAATCTTTCTTTTTGACAATGTTCCCTGACTCTCAGGTGCAGGACTATTTTTAGATATTGGATCTCTAGTTTTTACTAACTTAACTTTCACAAAAATGACTTACACAGGAAATCATGGATTAAAGATCCAAGTAAGAACAATGAGAAAATGCCAAGCCTGGAGGATTTTGCACTTAGTAGGGCTATTTGTAAGTTTGTTATGTATCTGACCTGTAATAACAGCCTAATCAGATATTTGAAAGTTGGGCAAGAACTTAAATGAGTCCAAAGCATTATCTGAAATATGGATTTTTCTCTAAAATCCTTAATGTAAACCTTGCATGCCCTAACTTTTTTCATGCCTTGAGCTATTGACTAGTGTAATTTAAAGCTCTCATGATTGGAAATATATTTAAGAATTGCATTTGTCCCGTCTCTAATTTGTCTGAGACTGATTTCTTTTTAAGTTATATTAAGAGAGTATATTCATAACAAATAAATATGCATAAATTTTAAATGACTAAATGCATATATATTAGTGATTTAACTTCCAAAATCAGTTCTGTTACGATATATAGTGAAAGACCCTCAGAGCTGCTAAGGACTTGGGAAACAGCACTACCATACTTTTTTGTTAGTTAGTTAGTTAGTTAGTTAGTTAGTTAGTTAGTTAGTTAGTTAGTTAGTTAGTT